TCACAAAAACTTTTTTTTGATATTTGGTAGAGGACAAAAAGTTAGTTAATAGGTTCTTTAACATTTTTCGGTTTTCTCTTTTCATTCGCGAGATATGAGGTTCTAAACCTTGAAAAATTGGCTTTTAGCGAAAAATTGTCGCGCCCGAGAAAAAAACGGAAAAGGGTCTGGGGCGAGAGCCGTGTGACGTAGCTTAAGGGACGGAAGTTCGAATTCACTTGTGAAGGAGTACTAAAAAGCTATTGGGAAAACATATATTTTCCAGCACTCATGGTTCTCAATGTGACTCAGAATACAATTATATTCCTGGGTATATATACAGGATGAATAAAATGATACCAGTCACGAAATTGGAACTCTAGAAGCAGTTGATAGCGAAATTTTAGGCGATTATGATGCATATTGCCTTTATGCCGGTGGAGCCGCTAGCAAGCCAAGAATGGCAGAATGCTACGCGCAACATCTAAAACCATGCGCAACACAAGGAACAAAACGAGATGCTAGAACGAAGATTAGACGGCCTTAAAGATATTAAATCATGGTGAGCGTAAACATAGATTTATTTAACATTTTAACGTAAAATAAGTATCTCTAGCTGATATATTTTTGATACGGCATCAGTCATATCACTTTCCTCACCTGTATCATATTTCGCAAGTGTGAATGCGGCGATTGTGTGATAATACATATTACATATACAATATACACACGAAGCTTGGTGCTGTCAGGAGATGGAATCTTGTAAATGTGGGGAAGTTCTGAAGGATAACTTGGTTTAATTTAAGAAGATGTACCACAGCCACCGTGCTGTTACTGCTGTATCATTCTACACTCGGGATTCAGACCTATTTGCTTGGAAAAATGGGCTCTAAGAAAACTTGCGAGAAAATACAATCGTTTAATCGTTCGTATTAAATAAACGTGATCACAGATAAACACTGTAGCCTCAAACAAGAATATATACGTAATTTGCTCTGAACCAGTCGGTTTATATTTTCTTTGATCTCGTGTCTTGTATTTTCTTGCGAAGGTGAGGGAAGTGTACATGGTTTAAACTCTTTGATGTGACTGATGCCGTATGAGCCCGTATCCCGCAAAATATATTAGTCAGAGATACTTATTTTACGTTAAAATGTTAAAATAAATCTTTGTTTACACTCCCCATAATTTAATATCTTCAAGGCCATCTAATCTTTCGCTGTAGCATCTAGTATTGTACTTTTGTTGCTTGTGTTTTGCTGATTTTTTTAGATATCGTGCGTACCATTCTTCGCCTTCTAGGGGTCATCGGCATAAAGGCATGCATCATAATCGCCTAAAATTTCGCTATCAACTGCTTCTAGAGTTCCGATTTTGTGACTAGTATCATTTGATTCATCCTCTATAATATATCCAGGAATATAACTGTATTCTGAGTCACATTGAGAACTATGAGTGCTTTCCGAATCCGACCTACTGTCTGACATGCTGGAAAATATATCAAATGTATAATGCGCGTCGAAATTAAGTTCCTTAAGCTACGTCACACCACGCTCGTCCCAGACTCTTGTTGATACGCGACAATTTTACGAAAATCGCTGTTTAGAGCCTCGTATCTCGCGAACAAAAATAGAAAACCGAAAAATGTTAAAGAACCTATTAACTAACTTTCTGTCCTCTACCAAATATCAAAAAAAAGTTTTTGTGACATAAGCACTTTAACTATAAGCTACGTTTACACGCTACAATTAATCGTGTACGATTCGTATTCTGGCATATTCAATTCAATGAAAATTCAACTTTAATTCAACTAAAATTCAATTCAATGAAAATTCAACTTCAATTCAACGAAAATTCAATTCAATGAAAATTCAACTTCAATGAAAATCCAATTCAATGAAAATTCAAATTCAATACCGGAAACGTGAGCACACTTTACATCCGGGAACTTCATTTTGAAAATTTATTATGGCGTATAATAAATACGCTTTTATAATAATAATAATAATAATTTATTCATTTAAATAAAGCGCATAGGTTATATTATATACTCGAAGCGCTGTACATTATAAAAATCTAAATATATTAAGAATTAAATATGCTATATAAAACATGGTGTTGTATACAATTAGAATATACATTAATGTATGTATCTATAATAAGAATGATAGAATCCAATATGGTCTCAACCTATAAAGGGTTATAAGCCTTATTGAAAAGAAATGTTTTCAAGCGTTTCTTAAACACAGAAATGTTTTCACAGTTCCTGACATCCAAAGGCAGAGAATTCCATAATTGTGGAGCAGCATGTGCGAAAGCCCGATCTCCGAGAGTCTTACAGTTTGTTTTGGGGATGTATAGTAGACCTTGACCATCCGATCGTAATGTCCATCGATCACTTGATTGTTTTGGAATAAGCATTTCAGAGATATAGATAGGGGCAATGTTATTAAGAGCCTTGTAAACCAGTAAGGCAATTTTGAATTCCACCCGGAATTTTACCGGTAGCCAGTGAAGTGATCTCAAAACTGGGGTGATGTGAGAAAATCTTGGACAGTGGTAGATTAGTCTAGCAGCGGCATTAAGAACTCTCTGCATTCGCTGGACTTGATACTGAGGTATGCCAGCCAACAGAGCATTACAATAGTCCACGTGTGATGTCACGAAAGCATGTATCAAAGTTTTCGTTGTATTAGTAGATAAAAATTTTCTAATTTGTCGTATTTTATAAAGTCCTCTGAATGCTTTACTGCACATCTTGCCTACATGAACTGACATTGACATATGCTTGTCAAACCAAGATCCCAAATTTCGAACACTGTCAACCGGCTTAATTTGGACCCCACCAACGTTAACGGATTCAATGTTTATTTTCAAAAGTTGTTGTGGTGTACCAATTACAAGAAATTCCGTTTTCGAATCTTTGAACATTAATTTGTGAGACAACAGCCAAGTACGAACATCAGAAATACAATCTTCCAGTATGGCTAGGGTACTTTCTGAATTATCTTCACAATCTGGGCGAAAGGATACATAAAGTTGCGTGTCATCAGCATATCCATGAGAAGAGGGTAAGTGCCTGTCAATAATGTCATATAGTTGGGATACATAAAGTAGAAAAAGTATGGGGCCAAGACAACTCCCTTGAGGCACTCCGTACTTAACATCGCAGTCTTCAGAAAAATTGTTATCCAGATCAACTCTCTGTTTCCTGTTCAATAGATATGATTTTATCCATTCAAGAGCCCTATCCGTCACTCCAAATTGATACTCCAATACGTCAATGATAGTTTTATGATCAATTGTATCGAACGCTGAGCTTAAGTCCAAGAGTATAAGAAAACACACTTCCTGCCTATCCATACTCAGAAGAATATCGCTTTGCACCTTTAGCAGAGCCGTCTCTGTCGAATGATATTTCCTGAAGCCAGATTGACAGGTAGGGAGAGGTGCATGTTTTTCACAATGGTTCAGCAATTGGTTGGCGGCTGCCTTTTCAGTGATCTTAGAAAGAAATGACAGATTGCTCACAGGCCTAAAGTTCTCAAATACTGGGTCCAAGCTAGACTTTTTCAGATTTGGTTTCAGCAAAGCAATTTTCCAGTGATCTGGGACACGACCCTCCTGCAAGGATAAATTTACAATTTTATAACTATAAGCTACGTTTACACGCTACAATTAATCGTGTACGATTCGTATTCTGGCATATTCAATTCAATGAAAATTCAACTTTAATTCAACTAAAATTCAATTCAATGAAAATTCAACTTCAATTCAACGAAAATTCAATTCAATGAAAATTCAACTTCAATGAAAATTCAATTCAATGAAATTCAATACCGGAAACGTGAGCACACTTTACATCCGGTAACTTCATTTTGGAAATTTATTATGACTAAGCTACGTTCACACGCTACACTGCAATTAATCGGTTTTCACTTGTTTCCATCTACCAAACTGACATTACGTCATTTGATCAATTTCTAAAGTTGTTTCTTTTTGGATTTTTTAATTAATTTGGTTAGGGTTAGGGTTAGGGTTGCGGTTAGGGTTAGAGGTTAGAGTAGGGGTAGGGTTTTGGCTAGTTACATAGCCATTTAACACCTCTTCAATCTTCTGAAAATGACGTCATGTCAGTTTGGTGGTTGGAAACAAGTGCTGACCCAATTAATCGTGTACGATTCGTCATCTACAGGTTTTTCAGGAATAACATAAATCATGATAACTCTTTAATTACTCGTTATTTTTGCGGAAAATTGCTAATTTTCCGCAAATATTAACGAATAATTAAAGAATTATGATTTATGTTGTTCCCGGAAATCCTGTAGTTCCTGTAATTCCTGTAGTTCTTGTTCCTGACACTTCCTGTAGTTCCTGGGTTTCCAAGCACCATAAATATTACGACAAATTAAGAAGTTGTCTCAAACACAAAATACAGTTGACGCTGTTTAGATCAATTGGTTGCAAAATCTTCAAAGATTCAATTATCTATTACCATTCGTCTATCAGTGGTAAGTCGATCTAATTTTATAGTTGTTGTAATTATTGCTTGTGTTTTATATTCTTTATAACCACCAATCTCGGTAGGCTTGATAGCTCAAAAGACAGAGCAGTTTCGATTTTCTGATTTTTGCATTATCTGAAAATTTCATCTTTTCTGATCATTTTAATATCAACCTTGTTGAAAAATTTTAGCTGATGAAATTCCTGGCGCGGCCAAAGGGTCGTGATGACGTATGCAGTGTGACACAGTGCGCTCTTCCTATCTGTAAATACTATAAACAATGTAGCTTCAACTGCGTTGAATTGGGATTTTTTGATAATTTAAACAAAATCCAAATAAATCTGCGTTATGTAGATGCGATACATTGGTTAAATCAATACACTTATATCACAATACCGGTGTCAAGCGAAATACCTGACCAGCTAGCGTGACGGGTCAGAATTTCGCGCGTACAGGCGCGAAATACATGACGCTTGCTAAATTCTAAGTCGGCCAAAACTGTTTTTTAGAGTTTAGATAAAATAATCATGATGTTAATTTCTAATACTTCGTTAAATATTTCAAATCGACATCGCTAAGTTTCAATCACAAACACTTTATAAAATTTCAAAGCGAATTGTGTGGTCGTGACCGCGAAATACACGACGTTTGCTAAATACGGTCCGTCGAAACGATTTTTAAGTCCATATGCGATAGTATGGCGTTCCGTTCCGGTCAAAATTATTTCAAGTCAATAAGTAATATTCAAACATCATATAAACATGTTATAACTCTCAATATAATGTTGAAAATATCAAGATGAAGTTCAAACTCAAAAAAAAAATAAAATAAAACGAAAGTTTAAAGCATATACTTGAAAAATGCAAAATACATTTCAAACCTCAAGCGATATATATGAAAATTAAACGCAAGTCCAAACTTCTATTTATAAAGCGAAACTCCCAAATGACTCTCTCCTCCGCAGAGGCTTTAGTTTTCTTCACTACACTTTACATGGCGGATCTTGAAACACGAGCGTAGCCAAATGATAAGTCAAAGCCGCGGCTCATAAAAATAAATCGAAAAGTCAAAAATATAAATCGAAAGGAAACTAGGAAACGGAAGTAAGAACTAAAACACAGAGGAAGTCAGGAAACGGAAGTTAACCACAACGAACAATTTCTCTTCTTTTTCTCTCTTGTAAATATTCACTTCTATAATAAGAACAATTTCTCTTCTTTTTCTCTCTTGTAAATATATATATATTCCTTTAATATTGTGATTGACTGTAAATAATTTATTACATAGCACAATACAAACTAGCATAACTAGAGACCTAAATAAAAAGTCTA